GACCACAACACGTCCCTAGTGAGCCTCCAGTTGACTAGCTCGTTGATCAAAAGATAGTCATGGTTTCCTAACTATGGACATTGGATGTCATTGATAACGGGATCACATCATTAGGAGAATGATGTGATGGACAAGACCCAATCCTAAGCTTAGCTCAAAGATCATGTAGTTCGTTTGCTGTAGATTTTCTGAATGTCAAGTATCATTTCCTTAGACCATGAGATTGTGCAACTCCCGGATACCGTAGGAGTGCCTTGGGTGTGCCAAACGTCACAACGTAACTAGGTGACTATAAAGGTACATTACAGGTATCTTCGAAAGTGTCTGTTGGGTTGGCACGAATCGAGACTGGGATTTGTCACTCCGTATGATGGAGAGGTATCTCTGGGCCCACTCAGTAATGCATCATCATAATGAGCTCAATGTGATCAAGTGGTTGATCACGGGATCATGCATTACGATACGAGTAAAGTGACTTGCCGGTAACGAGACTGAACAAGGTATTGGGATACCGACGATCGAGTCTCGGGCAAGTAACGTATCGATTGACAAAGAGAATTGTATACGGATTGATTCAATCCTTGACATCGTGGTTCATCCGATGAGATCATCGTGGAGCATGTGGGAGCCAACATGGGTATCCAGATCCCGCTGTTGGTTATTGACCGGAGAGTCGTCTCGGTCATGTCTGCATGTCTCCCGAACCCGTAGGGTCTACACACTTAAGGTTCGGTGACGCTAGGGTTGTTAGGAAGACTTGTATGTGATTACCGAATGTTGTTCGGAGTCCCGGATGAGATCCCAGACGTCACGAGGAGTTCCGGAATGGTCCGTAGGTAAAGATTTATATATGGGAAGTTGTCATACGGTCGCCGAAAAGGTTCGGGGGCATATCGGTATTGTACCGAGGCCACCGGAGGGGTTCCGGGGGTCCACCGGGAGGGGCCACCTCTTCCGGAGGGCCTTATGGGCTGTATGGAGAAGGGAACCAGCCCAAGTGGGCTGGGGCGCCACACCCCCCTAGGGCCCATGCGCCTAGGGTTGGGGGAAACCCTAAGGGGGGGGGCGCCTCCTTTCTTGGGGGGCAAGCCCCCCTCCCCTTGCCCCCCCTCTAGATCTCATCTAGAGGGGGCCGGCCCCCTTCCCCCTTCCCCTATAAATAGAGGGGTGAGGGGAGGGCTGCATACGACATCCAAGGCGCAGCCCCTCCCCTCCCCAACACCTCTCCTCCTCCATAAGAGCTTGGCGAAGCCCTGCCGGAGTACTGCAGCTTCATCACCACCACGCCGTCGTGCTGCTGTTGGAGCCCTCTTCCTCAACCTCTCCCTCCTCCTTGCTGGATCAAGGCGCGGGAGACGTCCTCGCTCTGTACGTGTGTTGAACGCGGAGGTGCCGTCCGTTTGGCGCTAGGATCTTCGGTGATTTGGATCACGTCGAGTACGACTCCATCAACCCCGTTCTCTTGAACGCTTCTGCTCGTGATCTACAAGGGTATGTAGATGCACTCCTCTCTCCCTCGTTGCTAGATGACTCCATAGATTGATCTTGGTGATGCGTAGAAAATTTTAAAATTCTGCTACGTTCCCCAACATCAATGTCTTCGGAGCCGTAATCGAGCATATCGGTTTAAGTCCTCAACAGTGGCTATGAAGTGGGAGGTGGGTGAGAAGCGAAATTCCCCGTCATCAACCCCCAGTTCAAACCGGATATAATTCGGTTGTGAGTCCCCTGCTAAGGAAAGGGTTTTTAATGAGTTCAGCACATCGCCTAAAGGTGAGTGCCGGAAGATGACCGCGGCGCCGAATTCGACGACCGGGGCCTGATCGGGCGCGGGCGCGCGTGGTTCAGAACCTGTGGCCGGAGACGAATGCGAGGTTCCGGTGACATAGATCATGCTCGAGGTTGGGTCTGTGTGCGACTCCAGTGCTGCTGAGTCTGCGGCTCCCGTGGCGGGATTGAGCTTCTTGTCCTCGGATGGCGCAATCTGCTCCGGATCTAGGGCCGGAGCACTTACAGGTGCTATCTCCTGGGTATGGTCCGATGACAGATTTAGGTCATGCTCATCGTGGTGGCAGGGAGCGGCTGCCGTGGGCTCAAATCCGTCAAAAATCAAGTCTTCGCGGGTATCAGCAACATAGTTCGAGCTTCCAAACCTGACTTGATGGCCAGGGGCGTAGCTGTCGATCTGCTCTAGATGGCCAAGCGAGTTGGCCCACAGTGCGAAGCCGTCGAATACGAAGATCTGGCCGGGGAGAAAAACTTCCCCCTGGACGGCATTGTTGTAGATGATTAACAGGGCCATCGAACCTCTTAGAGACGACGCAGCGGAACTCTCAATGAAAGCACCAATGTTGGTGTCAAAACCGGTGGATCTCGGGTAGGGGGTCCCGAACTGTGCATCTAAGGTCGATGGTAACAGGAGACAGGGGACCCGATGTTTACCCAGGTTCGGGCCCTCTCTATGGAGGTAATACCCTACTTCCTGCTTGATTGATCTTGATACAAGAGTTCATCTACCATGAGATCGTAATGGCTAAAACCCTAGAAGCCTAGCCTGTATGATTATGATTGTCCCTATGGACTAGACCCTCCGATTTATATAGACACCGGAGGGGACTAGGGTTGTACAAAGTCGGTTACAGGGAAAGGAAACTTCATATCCAGACGCCAAGCTTGCCTTCCACGCCAAGGAGAGTCCCATCCGGACACGGGTAAGAGTCTTCGGTCTTGTATCTTCACAGCCCATTAGTCCGGCCCATGTCCAACAGGCCGGACGTCCGAGGACCCCTTAGTCCAGGTCTCCCTCGCCCGTGGCGGTTGAGCGCTCGATGACCCTTGATCGGTCCCCTGAAATTGAGAACATGCTCTTCCGCATTCTCCACGTCTACAAGGACCGCCTACATCATCGCCTCTCATCCATGTAGTCCTCCTCGTCGGACGAGTCTCTGACGACTCAATATAGTGCTCGTATATGTACCCTATATCCGAATACATTGCTTCAAAGAAGAAGGGCAAAAAGAATTAGCATCGGCATTTCACAGAACAGTTGCCGGGCATGGTGAGTACTGTAGGAGCTGATGGTACCTGCTCGGCGGTTTGGGGGAGAGGTGTGGAACGGCGGTGGAGAAGAAGCGGCTTTGATCCCTTGTGTACCGCCGGAGGTAACGGACTCGTCGAGTACCGGCAAGGGTTATTGTCGGTTATAAATCCGGCATATCTCGTAGTAGGGATCCTAAGCTAGGCGTCTTGGAGCGATGGTAACATGGACACGGATTTTACTCAGGTTCGGCCCCTCTTAATGGAGGTAAAACCCTACGTCCTGCTTTTGATTGTATTCATATGGGTGTTGTACAGGGTACATGTATCTACCACGAGATTGGTCTAATGAATATTAGTTGATCTATTGACTAGTCTGGCCTCGGTTTATATAGTGCACCAGAGGCCTAGGTTTTAGAGGAGTCCTTGTCTTGGGGGTCAAGTCTTATGTAATCCTCCTTGTATACGGCATGAGCTATCCGAAGTGGCCCATAAGTGAACCGTCATGGGTCCTCGGCCCGATCCAGCTGGTCGGAAGACGACGTGGTGAGTACCTCCTAGTACAGGACACCGTTAGTTATGCCAGGGCGGCTTGGATGGTGGAGCGGTGGCGATTGCAATAGAGAAAAGGGGAAGGAGAGAAAATGAGAGGATGAAGGTGCGGGGTCCGGGAGGGATTTTGGTGGGGTTTTGAGTGGGCCGGGGGTGTCGGAGTCCTACGTGTCTGCTCTTCGGACTCGAGCAAAGCCTCTAGTTTGTCTCGCGTTTGCGGGAAAAAATACGTTCGGACAGCTTGATGGATCGATACAATTTTGAATTGGATGACATAACACGTTCGAACCGCATGATCCAGATGTACGCGGGCATCACACAAGCTCTCGTGACTAGTTGGGACCTCGGACTCTCCCGAGCAGGAGCCCCTTCCCACACGCTCCAGCTGGTACTAGATAGGTTCTAGAGAACCAGCATTTGGACGGACAAAAGCGCCCGATGGAGCGACGCCAAATGCAGCCCCCACGCCGCGAGAATGACAAATGTACGAACGAGCACACACTTGCCGGAAAAACTTCAAGCTTGAAACTTGAGAGTCTGTGCCCGTACCTTTCGGCGCTCCGTCCTCGTACCAGCAGGAGAGAAAACGAAGACGGCGAGCGCTTTGCGTCACGTGCCCGCGGACGAGGCCGGAGCGCCAAGGAAGGAACGCGCCGCCGCCGCACACGCGTCCGTCCGCCCGGCGGCTCGCCCGTCCACCTCGTATCGCCTTCCGCTGCCATCTCGTTCTCGTACCTGCCGTGACACACGAGCCCACGCGCGCGTCCGGCCGACCCTTCCTAACAGACGGCCAGGTTTAGACGGGCGAGCCAGCGTTCCCGCCCGGCGAAAGATCTTTCTGCCCCGGAGGCCGGAAGGAAGTTTGCGCACGAAGTTGCAGGTTCAGACAACCTTTCCTCCTTCCTCCCATCGCTCTCTCTAGCTACTCCGACGAGCGGTAGGTACATACAGCGACTCTTCGTTCCTGTCGTTTCTCGCGCCATATGACCACTACGCTGCTTAACCAGGCATCGTTTCAGAGTTTGTACTACGAGATACCAGCACGATGCCGCCGCGGCACGGAAAAAGTACGCGCGCGCGGGCACTAACACGTCAACGGAGCCCTGGGCACCGTTGGTGCGGTTCGGCGCCGCGACAAAGCTTCTCCAGCCACAGGAACGAGACGCCCGCCATTGGAATCGTCCGCTCTTGATCTTCCACACGCCCAGCTCCTTCACCGCCACGGTTCATTCGCCCCGTCTATTCTTGGAACCTTCCCCGCCTTCTAGTTGCTGCACATGTTCCATGTCATTCCTCTGAGTATTTATACGGCCTCGTGGTTCGACAGGTCCTCTGCAACAGTCAATACTTCAACTTCAACGCAACGCAGCACGGGCAACGTTGGTTGAACAAGGAGCTGACCGAGTCCAGCAATGGCGGCGAGGGCTGCATGTACCGGCCGGCTGCTCAGAGCAACCACCGCCAAGGACAGCCGTCTGCCATCGTCGTCCCCGGCGGCCAGCCGGCCGGCGTGCCGCATCCCGTCTCTCAAGTTCCCGTTCCTGTGGGACACCAAGGCGAGGCAAGGGAAGATCAGCCGCGCCGCCGAGCAGAGGGCGGCGCTGATCACCCTGGGAGCAGCCAGCGCCAGCACCACGGAGGAGAAACAACTCCTGCCGGGGGAAGCGAGCAGCGTAGATCTCCTGCTGCCTCTGGCGTACGAGGTCACCAGGAGGCTGGTGCTCAGGCAGTTCGGGGAGACGTGGCTGGCCCTCACACGGCGTCGCTGGGCCAAGGTCGCCGAGGCCGTCGTCCACCAGGGCATCGTCAGATGCCAATCGTTCACGCTCATCGGCGTCGCAGGATCGCTCCTCGGTTCAGTCCCATGTTTTCTCGAGGTAATTCCGACAAATGACCCTTTATGTCACTCACTTCTCAATCAAGTGTAACCATTTATGTGATGCAAATACTGTTCGAAATCAGGACGTCCAAGACTGATCAAACTTTTTTTTGTGACTGTATAGGGCTGTGGTATTGTTGTTGAGTCGTTCTTCTTGCAGTTCCGAGCCATGTCCCAGACAGTAGATCCAGCCGAGATCATCAAACTGCTCATCGAAGCATTAGGTACATGTTCTTCATCTGGCGTTCGCTTCAACATGAGCTTTGCGCAAACCATAGTACTCCATGTTACTAACTTGGGGACAAACTAATTCCTCTTCTTCCAGACATGTTTCTGATCGGCACTGCTCTGCTCACGTTTGCCATGGGGATGTACGGCATGTTCTACGGCTCGCAGCGCGTCCAGGAGCCCATCTACGAGAGGCTGAAGAAAGGGGCGAGGATCCGGTCCGTCACGCAGGCCAAGTCGAGGTTCGGCCACGCCGTGATCCTGCTGCTCCAGGCCGGCGTCCTCGAGAAGTTCAAGAGCGTGCCGCTCGTCACCGGCCTCGACATGACCTGCTTCGCCGGGGCCGTGCTCGCCTCCTCCGCCGGCGTCTTCCTGCTGTCCAGGCTCTCGGCGCATCCGCAGTCATGCAACAAGCAAGCCTCCTTCGCGTGAACGTGTCCGATGTCACTGCAAAACATGCAATATTCGTTTGTTCTTTCATTTCAAGTTAGCGAAGCAAGAAGTAGTACTTACTAATAGAAAAACCAAAACCTGTGATGCTCTTGTGCCTTTTTCGTCTTTTCCCTCACTGCTCGTAGCGGTTTAATTTGTAGCTTGAGAGCAATGTCAATAAAGATTCTCGGGGTAGGAAGAAAAGGTACTGCAAAAATCATTTCGGAGCGACTCTCGTACTCTTTTGTGATCAACCACGTAAAAACTCGTGGTGCGTTTCACCTTCACGTTGCCTCCCGAAATTTCAGTGGCCGCGTTCCGGCATCGACTGGGATGGGCGGCCGAGTGCTTTCGATGGCGAAGGCGTGAGTGACGGTACCTGTGGCGCCGCGGCGTCGGCTCTTCCCTATTCCGACCGCGCGCGGATTCTGCTCCGCCACTCGCCGTCGCACTGCCGCTTAGGGGAGGGAAGAGGCAGTGTGGCGCGCGCGACATCGTAACATCGGCCAACCTAGCTACCCACGCGAAGACACACACTATTGAAAAGAAAGCATCGTCGAGGTTATAACCAACCAGTATTGTCATCACTCCTCTGCGAGCCATCAATTTCGATTTCAGCATTGACGACCACCAACGCAACCCTCATCAGACAGTCTACCACCTGCGCTGGCGATGAGACACCTGAGACTTAGATGATGAACCTTGCATGAGAAAAGCGTTGAGCCAGCACCAACTAGGCCCTGCAAGCGAACATCGATCTCATGCCATCGTCACCGCTAACGCACCTCCTCCGCAACTCCGATCCACAAAGACGCGATGAGGCACGAGAACTCCTCGAACACATCGGATGATACCGACTACCAAACCCCCACCTCAACTGGTGAGGACACCACAACCATCGACAAGTCCCCAACAATTATGGGTCCTATCACAAGAAGTCGCGCCAAACTAATAAGTGACCAGATGATCGCTAAGACGCTAACTGAAGTTTACCTTGTAACCTTGATGACACAACTATGCTTTCATCCCCACTGTTGTTGGTTGAACTTGGGTATCATATAAAAGAAATCGGACAACCTATGAGCTCTTGAAGGAACCGGTTTGAAGAAAACAAGTTCCAAGTGAAGCTGATATTGTCAGACTTTAGCTCTACTATCAGTTTTTAGCTCTAATGTTTTATTGTGTCACACCCGAGAGACGGGCCATACAGGTACATCACCAGAAGCTACATCAAATTTACTCTCCAATGCAAAGAAACCTCACATCATTTGGAGTTGTCAGTCAAACGTTCTAGTCATTCTCGTGGAAGGTGTCTATGCTGTCAAGGCTTCGCGAATTTTCGAGGAGCTCTCCAACAACTCCCGAAGTTGACTGCTTATTCCCCCAAGTAAGCCACGCAAAGCTAGTTATTATTTAAACCTTTTCACACCTAGCTAAGGGGAGTTGTCTCTACTATAAAACCCATCTCCTCCATCCTTTGAGACCTTTTGTCAAACTATTCAGCTACAAGCTTATGCAGCAAGACTGCTAGAGATCTGAGAGATCCTTACTACCTTTGCTCTTGTGAGTTCATACGGATTCGCGAGAAGGAGCCTTTGGTTTCCCCTAAATCGTGCTCTACAATTTCATGTGTTTTGTGTGGGTTAGTTCCGGTTTGTGGTTTCTGCGATTGTTCAGGTAGTGGGTTGGAGTTCTTGTAGATCCGGTCAGCCATCCCCAACGTACGGGTTACATCCAACCTTGGCAGGTATAAAACTAATTACGCGGCTGCTTGCAACTAGTTATCCCTTTTGATTCGATCCTACGAAGTGAGGAGTGGGCCACCCTCGTGCATGAACTCGTTCAACGGGCTTGCACCTATCATCAAACCAACTCCACTTGAAATTGACATCGTTGCTGGACAAGAAGCCACACAACTCCGAACCAGGGTCGCCACCCGAGCATCCTCGCAACAAGCAGCGACCCACATGACCTTGGATGAAATCGAGGCAGCCATCAGTCCAGATCACTGACCATCGGTTCCTCCAGCCAGCGTGGCTCCAAGAACGATGTTCGATATAGAGCTTTGTCATCATTCGATCTGGGAAGATCTCATATCTGAGGTTTCCCCAAAACAATTATTCATGTAAAATCTCAAAGGCACATGTGGGGTTCATGACATGGTGAGAAGTTTTAGTATGCCCCCAAAAGTTGAGGAGAGTTGGGACCTACATATAAGAGATTCTCTTCCACGTCCTACTGGAGCATGAGAAGAGTACTGGCACACATGCTATCCTCCTCACTCGCCCGCCTCACCATGCCACGTGTGTGTGTCTTGTGTTTCGTGAACAACCTAAGCTCAAACATATGTCATGTGTGCTTGTTATTTTTGCTAGATGGAAATGGATAACTAATTGGTAATTAATTACGATTTTAGCAAATGCTTTACGAATAGCAACATCTGATCTAGTTGGTTTGGATTGTGGGTTGTTACCGACTCGGTCGTGGGCCTAACACCGCGTCTCCATGCCCGACCACCAATATATTGGAGGCAAATCCATTAGCAACCCTAGTCGTCACGCAAAATAGATTGCAACTACTCTACCTTCTTGCGCACAAAACAATCTTCGTTCCTCTCGTTGTTGTTACTTCTGGCCAACTCCATCAGAAGACCACTGCATGGATGCTCAGCAGAGCAGGCCTCTGAAACCAAGGGTGAGCGTTGTGGGGAGCAAACCGGTCCACAACCCGTCCTTTGTTTTGGAGTTGCTCTTAGAATTTGCTACAAATCCGGCCCAAGAACAGCATATTGCCCACTGAGTAAGGTAAAGGCCCGCCTTCACTTTGTTTCATGCTCTGCCACTGTCTAGAACCTTGTCCTTTGTGATCCTACACCAGGAAATGAGTGATAAGGATTTTGGGAGGCATCTCGGCACGACTGCCCGCAACTGTTCGACTACATCCACGACTTTGGCTACTACATCGGCCTTCCCACTGACAGCACAACACCGTGAACAAGAAGGTTGTTTGAGCCTCTTCCGCCGACATGACTTTTGCCTCTCCGAAAGGAGGGTATGATATATTCATCCCTCTATTTTTTTCTCATGTGTTAGCCGTACTCACTCTTATCATGGATGTTCCTATTCTATGTTTCGTTTATACATGGAGGGCATTGGTTTTTCTTCCCCGTGTCTTCTTCTTATGCTTGGTCATCCACGTCTCGCTTCGTCATAACTACAGCATAAGGGAAAAACAAGATCTAGGGTAAACGCTCATCACAACTCCATCGTCTGGCGGGATTTGGCTCATCGCATTGAGATTTTTTGTGGTATTACTAAGGTAGAGATCCATGACGAACCTCTACTGCATTCGCAACCACCTACTCTTTTTTCTCATCACTTGATGTTGGATGCCTCTGTTTCCAGGGTTTTGTGCGACCCTTCATTGATCCTTGATCTTCCGCCTCACCTCTCTGATACCGCAAAAAATAAACTTGACTTTTCCATGCTATTTTGGACTCGATAAAACAGAATCTACAGGTATCAAACAACATATTGGCAGGATCGATGGCAAGTTTCTCACAACACGATCGGCTCACAAAGCATTGTGGGAGTCCAAATTGGTGGACCTCTTCGCCACAGCCATCTAGAGAAATTTTGCACCCAACAAATGAAGGCCCTTCTTATGGCTCGCCCACAAGAATCATCTCTTCATCAACGACTTTCATTTCAGGAGAGGCATTGCAAAGATTAGCGCCCCTTCTGCCCTGATCCTGAGACTACCGATCACCCACTTCTTTATTGCCCCACAATTCAATCTCTTTGGGAGGAACTCACCAGCCTATGCGGGTCTGTGTTTTTATTTTTGTTTTCAATTGATTTATGTGCTAAAACTATATTCTTAGATGTGTAATATCGACTACGCTGGCTCATGGGTCTTATATGTGTCAATTTGCACAACACTTTAGATGGGGTGACATAGGTTGAATCATGTTCATCGTGTCATCGTGATGTTGAATTTTTTTTAAAAATTACACACTTGGAAAGTATAAACTCATTGGTAGTGCTGAATATATTGAATATATCGTAACGGGGAATACAATAGTGAAAATGGTTCATAATTTG